TGTCAGTGCTACCTACCCGAAGTGTGTGCACCCTGCATGAAATACAATGGTGTGAACTGAAACCTCTATGAAGTGCAGACTGAAATAACCCTTTTCTCCTTTCACCCTGGGTGTCATATTTTGTCTCAACAGCAAGAAAAATAAGATATTGTCTAACCATTACCTCAGAGAAGAAGTACTGCTTTTATTCGTCGGTGGATTCTGAAAGTCAAGAGGAGGGTATGTATATAACCACCACACAACATACCACTTTTTGAAACTACCTTTCTAGGAGCCATAATCTGCCTCCATATTGGTGGGAGTTAATGTCCTCTCCTCTACATATCTGTACTGATATTTCTAGAAGATGGCGGGGTGGGCATTAGCCTTCCCTCAGCATCTTTGGTACCTTTTATTTTATTTTTTTTTTAATTTTTTTTTTTATTTATTTGAGAGAGAGAGAGAGAGAGAGAGAGAGAGAGAGAAAGAGAGAGAGAGTGTGTGTGTGTGTGTGTGTGTGTGTGTGTAGCCATCTCAGCCCACCAGGGGGCGGGGCTGGCTGGCATGTGGTGCTGGGGGATTGAACCGCGGTCCCTGATGCTTTGCTAAGCTTGTTCTAAGTAGGTGCTTTAGACCACTGAGCCATCTCTCCAGCCCTTTGGTACCTTTTAATACAGTACACAGAGGAAAGCAGGATAAAATGAAAGATACAAATATTCATTCTTTAAATGGCCTTCAAGGATTGGGTTAGGGTCTTGCTATCTCTGCAGCAGAAATGGATTGCTGTTGTAGGAAAAATAACAATTAGAAAAGTTTTTTTGTTTTTTTTTAAATGTTCATAGTTGACCAACTAAGCCAATATGTGGAATTCAAGTCAGCTTCCTGTTCTGTAAGCCATGCATGGTGGCAGCCTGCTTTAGTGAAAGTGCTAAGAAAAGAAGACTTGAGAATATGAGAATCAAGAATTAAGAAGCATGGCCGGTTTTCTCCAAAGTGAAAGGAGAAAAACCTTTGGTGCCAGTGATGCAGACCTGGGTTTAACAGTACTGAAGAAGCTACCAGGTTCCTTTACACGCAACAAGTCTTTAGGAAACAAACCAAACCCCTTTTGTTGTGGCAATAGAGTGCTTCTAATAAATCAGAAAGGAAGAATAATGACTATAGGGTGCTACTCATATGTCTCTGTATCCATAGCTAGTAGATACAGTAGTTTTTACTTAGAAAAGACAGAGAATGGAGTCTGTCTATCTTGTGCCCTGACCTTTTGAGCAGGGCCACTTCACCCAATTTCTGGGCAATAACCATGCTCATCAAAACAGACAGGATTCAAAGTTCCAGAATTAGGGGCTGGGGAGATGGCTCAGTGGAATAAGCACTTTCCCAGCAAGTGCAAGGGCCTGAGTTCAATACCAGTTCTGCAAAAAAAAAAAAAAAAAAAAAACAGTTTTCTGGGGCGGGGGACAAGCGCAAGGTCTTGAATTTGATCCCTGGTGCCAAACAAAGTTCCAGAATTTACAGATGGCTAAAATAAGTATATTCGTTCTTTCTTTCTTTTTTTTTTTTTAGTATATTCTTTTTGTCTTAATTCAAACTTGGCTAATACACATATACAAACCAACTTTGGGGTGAAAGAAATTACTGTGGGAAGAAATTATCTGCAACAACACTTAGAATATTTCGTTTAAGTGTGAAAGCTCTTTCTTCATTATCCTCTGGCCTTCATCACTACTGATCATCATGATCTGGACTCCTGCCAATCACTAATGATCTCACGGTGCTGTCACACTAAATCTATCAGACCTGAACCTTTAAGAGAATCCCTGCTCAGCTCATTATACTTTTTCTGCTTTTCTTGGTTCTTCATATAGTTTCAGTTGGTGTTGAATTTGAATTATTTTTGTAAGTTTTAAGCTATTCTGGCGGTTTTGGAAAGTGATTTAAAACCTTCCCTCTAATGAATTCAACTAATTACAATTCAAAAACTCCATGACTTACCTCATTTCTCCTTGCCTCTTTTTCCTTTGGTGTTTCTCTAAGCTCTTCCTATATTCTGGTGTTGACTATGCTTAAGAGTTTAAATTTTCTAAGTTAAGAGCTTCATGATTCTGTATTCTGTATAATGAATGGCCTATTACTAACTTACAGCAGTACAAAGAGATTTTTCCTCCTATGTACTTTGAGGTCTATATTAACAGTCAACTACAAGGACAAATGAGGCCTCACTAGTAGTCTAAGCTAATCTTTCTTTCTTTCTTTTTTCTTTCTTTCTTTTTGCAACAGGGTCATGCTGTGGATCCTCCCGCCTCAGCCTCCAGAGTGCTGAGATTACAGGCTTGCACCATCATACCTGGTGGCTGAGTTCTTTTTAACAGTGAAATGTTAAAAAATGTATTCTACCTTGCACACTAGGTACAATACAAATTAAGACTGACTTCTTAGCTGATTATAATTTTATATTTCAAGGAATGTAAGCACTAATTCAGTGGAGTTACATAAGGCAATCTTAATTCTAATCATGATATCTTGAATTTTCCCACTGAATTCCATATTCTAGAACTTAATAGCTTTTAAAACCATCTTAGAACTGTGAATTCTCATAAACTCCAAAATCTACAAATCAAATTCTTGATAACTTTCTGAAGTTATGTATCTGTATAGTACACATCAATGTACTACATATGTACATGATTGTTAAATTAGCAATTCACTGACAAAGAGATTTTTATATTCTGAATAAGCAATTTTCTTTAAGAAAAGTCCCTTTGCAACTTCTCTTATTCCAATGGAGCTTCCACTGTTCAAACTATGTTAGTATAATGACTTTACAACTAGTTTTCTAAAAGTTATTCCAGAAAGCCATCTAATTATCTTTTAGCTTGCTTTGACCTCAAGTTACATTACCCTAACTTGGCCACCCACCTCCTTCTTCAGGGCACTGACAGACTGGATGGAAAATGACTTGCCACCTCTAAGTCTTTAAACCTGCCGGTACTGGAGTAGTGCCTAAGGAAGAGTTCTGAGCAAGGCTTGAGTAATAGAAGCATTATGTAAGTGACAGCCTTCCAAAACTACTGGTTGGATGAGAACACTTCAAAATACATGTTTAAGTTCTAGCACAGCTGTTAAAACACAGACATTTCTTCATAGCCATAGTTTGATTACAGAGTTTCAAGTGCCACAGCACAACATTAGGATTAGTGCTAAAATTATTGCTAATATCTTGGCTTCATTATCATACTTTGCAAAATTTTATTTTCATTAGGCATATCTTACAGATTTCACATAAAATGTTTTGACTTGGGGCTGGGAAGATGGCTCAGTAGAATAAGTGCTTCCCTGGCAAGCGCAAGGGCCTGAGTTCAATCTCTGGTTCCACTAAAAAAAAAAAAAAAAAAAAAAATGTTTTAACTCAAAGCTTTAAGGCACTTTCAAAATAACTGAAGAACAGTAGAGCCTCTTCAATCATGTAAATCCTTTAAACTTTAAAAAAAAAATTAAGAAGAAAAAATAGCACTGTGAATAAGGCACAAGTTGGAGAAAACTTTGATTCCTAATATATTTCCTTGACTTACCACTTGAAGGCAGTAAATACAATTTTCCGTTTATAAAATAAATGGTCACAGTTATTTAAGTCTTTCTTAATAATATTCCATGAGTTTTCTGTAGCTAGGAAAAAATATACATTCTTTAGTTACAGTTTCACAATTGTTTATGAAATGCCCAAAGGGATCATATCCAGTGGCGAGGTGGAGTGGAATATCTATAATAACTAGTGAATACATATTTACTAAATAAAGGAAAAGAAAAATATCGTGGGTCAATATATATGGAGTTCACTGTAAAACCATATAGTATTTCACCCATGTAAATACAGCACTGGCTACTGTACAATGTCAAGAATAAAGCATCTGCTTAGATTTGAAACTGACTTTGGATTTGACTTTTCCAATTATTCCACTTTTTAAAAATGTCTGGCTTCATAAACAAAACTCTCCCTGACTTACCACAGACGACTCACTAGATGAAATAACAATTGAGCTTATATTATAGAACAGGAATAAGAGAAAATCCTCCTCCCTATGGGGGTTTTGTAAGTACATTGATAAATACCTACAAAGTGATAAATGTTACTACCTCCTTCAGCATTTTAAAAGATGTCAACCAAACACAAAATATTTTTAGTGTGTGAATTAAAATGCTTCTTGCTGATGGCCTCAAATGTTTCTACCTAAGACGTCAAGACCTGGTTTACCTATTATCTGTCCTTCCAGCATGCACTGATATCGCACTTCATAATAGCTCGGTGTAATGATCGCTGTCAAATCCCCTACATGGGACACCCCTGCCCTGGATGGACATCACATATTTGCGTGACAGAAGACTAAAAAACTAAGGTCAGATGTGAAGGCCGTTTTTGAGCACAGGGGATGCAGGGGCACACTATGCATGAGCTCAAGGGCCTCAGTTCTTTTGCTTTGATTTACCCAAGAATGAGAATGAATACTGTCGGGAGATCCCGCGGATGGGGGGCACTCCCTGGTAAGGGCCCCAGGACCCGAGTAGGACAATATTTTTCAAGTTCGAACCCATCCAGAAATGAACAGGCCTTTGGCTTTCTGGTCCGTCCCCATGACCCGCACACAATGGCACACACTTCTGCAGGGAGCTGAAAGCGAGGCGAGTGGAGGGCGTCGCGGGGTGGGCTGGGGTCGCGACCCGGGCCCCTCTGAGACTTTGTGAACCGCTCCGGGTTCAGAGGCGCCCACGGCCCGCGCCGCCCGGGAGACCGAGGCGCCGCGCCGGGTCCGCGGAGGGCTGGGCTCCGCCGACGCCGCTGCTCTCCACCCGCCGCCTCCCCGCCTGCGGCCCGAGCGGCTACTCAAGGTCCCCAGCAGGGCCGCGCCAGTCTCCGCTCGCCGAGCGAGCGCGGAGAGCAGCGTCTGGGCGCGCGTCTGCACCGCGGGGCGCCGAGCGGAGGGCGCCCGCCCGAGCAGGGCCTTCGGCCAGAGCGAGAGTCTCACCTCAGAAGTCGGGTGCCGCCGCCTGCAGGGGGAGGAGAGCAGGTGGGCAAGGGCCGCGCTGGGCCCGGCCGCGCCGGGACGGCGCCAGGAGGACAAGCCGGGCAGCGGAGCCCCAGCCCTCGACGTCCGAGCCGCCTTCTCGGAAGGGAGGCCTCTACCGTTCGGCCGCGGTCCTGCAGCCGCGCTCGCGCGCCCCTGCCGCCCGCGCAGGCCCCGCCCCGCCCCGCGCAGGCCCCGCCCCACCGGCGCGGCTCCACCCACTGGCCTCCTTTTCCTGCCCCTCCCTCCCTTCCTTTCAGCCCGCTGGGTGCTATCGGCTCTCTCCTGGAGACGAACACGAAGCGACGTGGAAACCATCCCACCAAAATGAGCTGTGATATCCTTTTGATGGCTATAATTTATTCCAAACGTCCCTGAACTGAAACGATCAATTAGCAGCCTGAAACGCACTGTGAAGTAAATTGTCACACTCTCTATTACAGGATGGTTATCATATATTTATAAGGTATGTTTTCTGCAATCAGAACCAACAAGGTGTTGAATGATCAGTCATAAACGCACTTCTTCAGAAGAGAGGGAGAGAGGCTTCAGCATTGCGTGTCAGGGGAAAATCCTTCTGACAGCTGTCCTCCCCACCCAGTGATGTTGCTTTGCAGCTGGAAAGTGCAGTGAGGGACCCGGAGCAGCAGCCTGGAGAACTGCAGACTCCAAGTCCAAGAGGAGAGGTTTCCTTACTGTGTAAATTCAGGGTAAGCATAGGGTGCGCTCCTCTGCCTCCTTTCCAATCTCTAACAATAATCTTTTACTCTTTTTGCCTAAACTTCTAACAGAATGTTCGCATTCTACACTTAAGATATCTTGAGTCTTTTCTTCCCGAGGGCTCATGGTGCTGCCTTCCTCGCTGTTCCTCAGGTGAAGGTGCACTGTGGAGACTAAGTCAGGGTGATGAAGAGTTCCGCCATGTAGGGTGTGCTGTATTCTCAATTGGAATCCCCACCAGAACTCCGCCCCTTTAAAAAATGAGATGGCACAAAGTTCTAAGGAATTCCTAAGCAATGCTGATTTAGCCTGGTAGGCTGCCTTGACTAGACAAACCTATAGGCATTATTATTTTCCTTAGTCATCCTCAGTAGTCAAGAATATACCTCCAAAATTTCTAAGTTTCCCCTAACAAACTTGCATCTGTCATTCATGAACCACCTATGAATCATATTTTAGAAAGGTTTTTTTTTTTTGCACCTGATTATTATGCCTTTTGTTTGAAAACATAGCTGTAGATCTTAGCCTGCTGATTATTGATTGGGAAAAGTTTAGTAGTGAAAACTCCTTTTTCAGCCTATGTGGTTAGAAAAAAAATGGCATTGAATAAAATGTGTCATGAGATTTGAGGGTGAGTTGCAGACTTTATACTACTTCCTTCTTAGCTTCACCACCCTAGAGACTTCCTCATGGCAAGGAATGTCCACAATGCCAATGTAAAAAGAATGGGGAGAAAAAAAAAATCTGGTTGGGCATATGGATTGCCATTGCCTCAACCCAAGCACAAAAACTGTACCCTGTTTCTGTCTTGAAAAGCAAAGAGAACTCTCATTTCTTCTAAGGACTGACTTGACAAAGAGCCAGACCCCCCACCTTCACATTGTACCTTTCAGTGTTTTGATTTAATTTGTATTTAATCCATGGCTAATATTTATTGAGCATTTACTCCTTGTCAGGCATTGTGCTTTAATTATCTGCATTATTTTATTTAATCGTCTCAACAGTCTTTTATTATTATCTAAAAAGAATACAAAATAGTAAAAAAAAAGCATTAGAAACAATACAAAACTTCACCAAACAAATCAATAGGAATTCAACAGTGATTGCTGTATTGCAAAATGTTGCCTTCAAATTAGTTGTTCAGATTACCAGATATAAGCATGTAAAATTGGAAAAAAATGTTATAAGAAATTTAAAAGGACAAGTAAGTGGGGCAGGGAGATAGCACAGCTGTATAAGCATCTGCCTGGCAAGTACAAGGTCCTGAGTTCAATCCCCAGTACCAAAAAGAAAAAAAAGAGAGAGAGAAATTTTATTTATGTACGTATGCGTGATGGCTTGGATAATCATACTGCTGATTTCTGCTGGTCTACAGAGGGGAGAAGTCAATGCTTAAATTTTTCAACAGTCTTAATGGTAAAAGTTTTTTATTTTGCCAATAGAAAAATAAGGCTTAGTGAAATTAGGTGATTTAGCTGATGTTACACACCTAGTGATGAACTCAAATCCAGGTCAGAGTCTAATACCCACACTCTTCATGTCAATAACATACTATCTCAAATTTAAGATTTTGATTTAATCTTTTTTTGAACCAAAAATTTTGATGGAGCTGCTGATAAAATGAGAGTGGTGTGGGCTGGGGAGATAGCTCAGTGGCATAAGTGACTGCCTGGCAAGTGCAAGGTCCTCAGCTAGATTCCTAGTACAGAGAGAGAGAGAGAGAGAGAGAGAGAGAGAGAGAGAGAGAGAGATTAATTCTGAGAGAAAAATGAAAAAACAACTGTTTAAAGAGAAAGCCATTGGGGATAGCTAGAACCCTGGTGTGGGTAGATTACTTCTTTCTGTTCTTTTCTACCTTTGGGGGTCTTTTACATTCTGAGAGTTCTTTTTCAAAGTTATCACCCGCCATCTAGCCAAAGAGTCTCTTGCCCAAGGTTAGTGATAGCTGCTAAACAGGAAAAAGAGTGAGGAGGTACATGCTGCAGAGCCCAGGACAAAGCAGAGCACCCTGGGGAGAAGGCTTAAATGGAGCCCAAGTAGGCCAGAGGCCCTTGCCTCAGACACCCGGCTCTGAGAAGAAAACCTTGTTTCCTAATGGACTTTAAATTGCCAACATTGCTAAACTTCCCTTAATAGACTTGTAAAGATCTGCTTGCTACCTTTTTCCCCCTTCATGTAGAATTTGTAATCAAGAGCCCAATTTTGTCATTTGGAAATACTAATTATCTAATCATGGCATGCTGCATAGCGTACTTGTCTGCCCAATTAGCTAGGACAATTATTAAAATTCAGAGGCCTAATTATGTCTCAATTTAATGCTGGCAAACTTGCATACAGAGCAGTAATTAAAATCCTCTCTTTCCCTCTGCCTTTAGGGCAGGGGATGATTAGGCCCTGTCAGGGGGTGGACTGAACCAACCAGTGAAGCGTATTGTGCAACATGACCCTGCATTGTTAAGTGTGTCAACACATTAACCTGAATTCCCTTCAGCCCCCACATAATCACATTTGGTGAAGGAATAAAGGAGCTAAAATATGAAGCATTTTATTAAAAAAACATAAATTCTTTTTAATTAATGCTATGAGAGTTCTGAAGAATTGCATGCTTCCAAGTGCTGGAAGACATAAAGCTGGTTCCTCTAATTACTACCAAATTTGCTCTTGTTAAATCTACTTTTTTTCTGCCTTTAAAAAATGATTTTTTTGTGGTATATTTTGAAAAACTACTTGGCTTCTAGTAATGCAGTTGATTATCAGCTTTGATGAAGGAACAAAAAGTGAATGTTGACTTCCAAATAATTCTAACTGAAGGCTAGAGGCGTGGTGGGGGGTGGCTATAATTTAATACTTGAAAGATGTTAATAAAAGTAGAACATTAAAAATCATAATATTGAAACAAATTCAAAATATTTGTCTTTTGAGTTCTTAAGTTTGATGTCTAAAATCAAACCAACGTGAGGAGGGCCAAGCACCATACAAAGTCATGCTACTTGGAAAGCTCCTTAGCATGTAGGAACCCAGATCTCCTCTCTGCTAGCATTTTCTCAGTGAGCTAAAGAGAGCCATAAAGCCCCTGAGATTGATGAACTGTCCTCTCAGCTCAGATTCCACTCATGGTGGTCTTCAGAGATCATTTATGTACTCAAGTAATGACAGACAACATTGAGTCTAGACCAAAACTCAACCTGCAGGAGAACTTCATTCTGTTGCTTCCAAACTTCTCGCTGCATAGCTAGCTTCCAGAGAGCAGCACAGGCGCACGTGCACACAGCATTCCTTCCTGGGACAGAGCTCACTCTCAACTGATCCCATTTTGAATCTGCTGACAACTCTGCCACATAGCAGGCAAGACAAGCATGTTAGCACCAAGCATGGTGGGGCACACCTGTAATCCCAGCACCGGGGAGGCTGAGGCAGGAGAATTGTTGAGAGTCTGAGACCAACCTGAGCTACAAAGTGAGCTCAGCCAGCCTTATCTGCACAGTGAGACCCTGCCTAAAAGGATAAAACAACAGTAACAACAACAAAGGTCAAGCATGTCTCCATTTTTTATGTGTGGCCTCTACAATACTTATCCTGGCTGACCATTCTATACCCCACCTCCTTTGTGAACAGGACAAGACTAAACCTTACATTCCCCAGCTGCCCACTCCGTTAGACTCAAGGCTGTGGATAACACCCACGAGTCAAATACCTCTCATTGAATATATATATATATATATA